TTTTTGGATTGTCAGAAAGCCTTTGATACAGTACCACACAAGAGGCTAGTGCGAAAGTTGGAGATGCAGGCTGGAGTGAGAGGGAAGGTACTCCGGTGGATAGAGGAATACCTAAGCAACAGGAGACAACGAGTCTGTGTGAGGGGTGAGGTCTCAGATTGGCGAGACGTCACAAGTGGAGTCCCGCAGGGGTCAGTCCTTGGACCTATACTGTTTCTGGTATATGTAAATGATCTCCCAGAGGGTATAGATTCGTTCCTCTCAATGTTTGCCGACGATGCAAAAATTATGAGGAGGATTGAAACAGAGGATGATAGTAGGAGGCTACAAGATGACCTGGATAGACTGAGTGAATGGTCCAACAAATGGCTGTTGAAGTTCAACCCGAGTAAATGCAAAGTAATGAAACTAGGCAGTGGAAACAGGAGGCCAGGCACAGGATACAGAATAGGAGATGAAGTACTTAATGAAACAGACAGAGAGAAAGATCTAGGAGTTGATATCACACCAAACCTGTCTCCTGAAGCCCACATAAAGAGAATAACGTCTGCGGCATATGCGAGGCTGGCTAACATCAGAACGGCGTTCAGGAACCTGTGTAAGGAATCATTCAGAATCTTGTACACCACATATGTAAGACCAATCCTGGAGTATGCGGCCCCAGCATGGAGCCCGTACCTTGTCAAGCACAAGACGAAGCTGGAAAAAGTCCAAAGGTATGCTACTAGACTAGTCCCAGAACTAAGAGGCATGAGTTATGAGGAAAGGCTGCGGGAAATGCACCTCACGACACTGGAAGACAGAAGAGTAAGGGGGGACATGATCACAACCTACAAAATCCTCAGGGGAATCGACCGGTAAACAAGGATGAACTATTCAACACTGGTGGGACGCGAACAAGGGACACAGGTGGAAGCTGAGTACCCAAATGAGCCACAGAGACGTTAGAAAGAACTTTTTCAGTGTCAGAGTAGTTAGTAAATGGAATGCATTAGGAAGTGATGTGGTGGAGGCTGACTCCATACACAGTTTCAAATGTAGATATGATAGAGCCCAATAGGCTCAGGAATCTGTACACCAGTTGATTGACGGTTGAGAGGCGGGACCAAAGAGCCAGAGCTCAACCCCCGCAAGCACAATTAGGTGAGTACACACCCACACACACACCCACACACACACACCCACACAAACACCCACACACTACCAACATAGTAGGTATTCATGTTTATCCGGCAGTTCCCATTGTATGAACTCTTTCAGCGGTTTTATTAATTAACAGTTTGTTTTGTAAAGTGTTTGTATCACAGTTATTTGTTCTTCTTGCTCTCCACTCTTTATCCCAAGGTTGACTTAGGTTACATACTTCTTTTCCAGCCTGCAGGTGTGTGTGGCACTGCACGCAGGTGTGTGTGGCACTGCATGCAGGTGTGTGTGGCACTGCACGCAGGTGTGTGTGGCACTGCACGCAGGTGTGTGTGGCACTGCACGCAGGTGTGTGTGGCACTGCATGCAGGTGTGTGTGGCACTGCACGCAGGTGTGTGTGGCACGGCATGCAGGTGTGTGTGGCACTGCACGCAGGTGTGTGTGGCACTGCACGCAGGTGTGTGTGGCACTGCACGCAGGTGTGTGTGCACTGCATGCAGGTGTGTGTGGTCACTGCAACTGCAGGGTGTGTTGTGGCACTGCACGCAGGTGTGTGTGGCTCACTGCATGCAGGTGTGTGTTGGCACTGCACGCAGGTGTGTGTGGCACTGCATGCAGGTGTTGTGTGGCACTGCTCGCAGGTGTGTGTGGCACTGCACGCAGGCAGGTGTGGTGTTGCACGCAGGTGTTGTGTGGCACTGCACGCAGGTGTGTGTGGCACTGCATGCAGGTGTGTGTGGCACTGCACGCAGGTGTGTGTGGCACTGCACGCAGGTGTGTGTGGCACTGCACGCAGGTGTGTGTGGCACTGCACGCAGGTGTGTGTGGCACTGCACGCAGGTGTGTGTGGCACTGCATGCAGGTGTGTGTGGCAACTGCACGCAGTTGTTGTGTGGCACTGCACGCAGGTGTGTGTGTCACTGCACGCAGGTGTGTGTGGGGCACTGCACGCAGGTGTGTGTTGCACGGCATGCAGGTGTGTGTGGGCACTGCACGCATGTGTGTGTTGCACTCGCATGCAGGTGTTGTGTGGGCACTTACACCTGTTTAGGTTTGGAAGGATCACGGTAAGGTGGTGTTATAGGGTGGAGGAGATTGAGAACTCGGATAGGTACGCTGGCTTGGATGAGGTAGGTGACTAATCAAACCCCTTTGGGGGTTTAAGCGACTTCGGGGGGAGTGTGGTTATCTCGAGAGGGCTGAGTGGATGATAGGTGCTTCTTCTCTCGGATCTACATGGGAGTGGCTCAGGCCTACGCGGGTGGTCCTGTCGCTCTCTCTCTCCGGTTTCTTCCGTCGCTCGCTCTCTCTCTCCTCTCTCATCTCTCGTCCTCACTCATCGGTCCGCTCTCTCCTCTCTTCTCTCTCTCCTCTATTCTCCCTCTCTCGTCTCCTCTCTCTCTCTTCTCCTCTCCCTCTCCGCCCTCTCTCCCTCCATCTCGCCTCTCCTCTCTCTCCGCTCCCTCCTCTCCTCCTCCCATCTCTCTCTCTCTCGAGCTCTCTGCTGTGTGTGTGTGTGTGTGTGTGTGTGTGTTTGTGTGTGTGTGTGTGTGTGTGTTTGTTGTGTGAGATAAACACACATACACCACATAGGGGGCTAAGTGGACAGCACTCTGGACACGTAATCCTGTGGTCCGGGGTTAGATTCCCGGCACCGACGAGAAACAATAGACAGTTTCTTTCTCCTTGTACTGCCCCTGTTACCTAGCAGTAATGAGGTAGTACCTGGGCGTAGTTAGACAGCTGTTACGGGCTGCTTCCTGGAGGTGTGTGTGTGTGAAAAATAAAATTAGTTAAAAGTTAATAACAGTTGATTGCTTAACATTTGAGAGGCGGGCCCAAAGAGCAGAGCTCAACCCCCGCAAGCACAACTAGGTGAATACACCTAGGTGAATACGCACGGACACACACACGCCCGCACGCACGCATGCACACAGACACACACACACACACACACACACACACACACAACACACACACAACACACACACGACACACACAACACTGTAATAAAAGCCACTACACCTGTCATTTCTACGGACAGAGATGTTTTTTTCCCGCGTGTATCGAACCTGAACAATAACTCCCGCTCCGTCACACGTTTGAAGCTGATTGAGGTTTGTGTGTCTGTTTTTTTTTTTTGGGAGGGGGAAGGGTGAAGGGGTGAAGGGGTGAGAGGGGGGGGTTATGTAAGGGTTTACGGCGTAGTGGCGTAAGTTGGGATGAGTCGGCTGGCGTTATCCTGGATATATTAACCCACAGGTGTTATCCCTGGGTGATATATTGACACGTTGGTGTTGTGTACTCACCTAATTGTGTTTGCGGGGGTTGAGCTCTGGCTCTTTGGTCCCGCCTCTCAACAGGTGTACAGGTTCCTGAGCCTACTGGGCTCTATCATATCTAAACTTGAAACTGTGTATGGAGTCAGCCTCCACCACATCACTTCCTAGTGCATTCCATTTACTAACTACTCTGACACTGAAAAAGTTCTTTCTAACGTCTCTGTGGCTCATTTGGGTACTCAGCTTCCACCTGTGTCCCCTTGTGCGTGTGCCAACCGTGTTAAATAATACATCCTTGTTCACGCTGTCAATTCCCCTGAGAATTTTGTATGTGGTGATCATGTGTCCCCTAGCTCTTCTGTCTTCCAGCGACGTGAGGTGCAGTTCACGTAGTCTGTCCTCATAACTCATGCCTCTTAGTTCTGGGACTAGCCTAGTGGCATACCTCTGAACTTTTTCCAGCTTCGTCTTGTGCTTGACTAGATACGGGCTCCATGCTGGGGCTGCATACTCCAGGCTTGGGTCTTACATATGTGGTTTATCCAAGGTTCTGGAGGATTCCTTACACAGGTTTTTGAAAGCAGTTCTGATGCTAGCCAGCCTCCGCATACGCCGCTGATGTTATTTTTTGATGGTGTGCTTCCGGAGACAGGTTTGGCGTGATATCACTCCCAGATCGTCCTCCTCTCTCCGTTTCGTGAAGGACTTCATCTTCCCATTCGCTATCCAGTGACTGGCCTCCTAGTTCCCTCCTCCTAGTTTCATTACCGTTACATTTACTTGGGTTGAACTTTTAGTAGCCATTGGTCGACCATTCCTTTCAGTTTGTCTAGGTCATCTTGTAGCCCATAATACTCCTCCTCCTCTGGTTGTGTGTTACAAAGTTCCTCCGCTCCAGATGTTCCCACTAGCTTTTTTTTCTTCGCACAATCTTTTCCATCATCTTGCATGGAATGCAGGTTAGGGACACTGGCCCGTAGTTCAGTGCCTCCTGCCTATCACCCGGGGTGTGTGGCAGGGTGGTGAATTACCGTGGGGGGTGTGCCCCGACTTAATATAGTCACCACCTCATCAACACTGTCCCCGCCCGCCTACACCCCCGCCCCCCCTGCTCTTGGGCATCTGTCCTATGCTGATAGGGGGAAGGAAGGGAAGAAAGGGAAGTGAAGAAAGGGAGGTGAGGGGAGGGAGGGAAGGAGGGAGGGAAGGAGACACAAGGGTATATATGAATGCTACACAGTATTCATCTATGGACATCCATATATGGTGAAACACATGTGAAGAACCTCTCCCAAACACTCACAGCTCCCTGTGAAGG